TTTTTTTGTGCAGACCGAGCCCATTGGTCAAGGTTTGACTGGTTTGTACAAAAAGAAAGAGGTCTGATATTTCTCAGTAAAGACCGAGAAAGCGAGGTTATTAAAAGGTTTATTATATGGCATTATTTGACCTGAAACAAGCTGGCTTTCTTTCTCGTCTTTGCTGTGACTTAAAATTTTACTATATTTTTATATAGTATTATTTATATAGTATTTATATGGTATTACTGTATTTTTACTATATTTACATATTTTTACTAAATATGACTTAAAAATTTTACTACTTAAATTATAGTTTCATTTAACAGAACTTTGAAAATGACAGTGTATTTTCTAAAACAGTTTGTGCTTACCTCTTTTCATTCTCGAAGTATTGAAGTTTTTGTAATGTCCGATCTATACAACTTTCACATGAATTGAGAAAGAAATTTATAAACTATTTTGTTAGGCAAGAAGGAAGTGTTTCATGGCAATGTAAGCACATTACCAGTGTGGGTGAGCAGTTTCCATCATCGGAGGCAATCTAGAAGGGGGAAAGAACAGGAAAAGACCAACCTTGCATTCTTATTGTAAAATCAATTTAAAATTTTCATGTCTCAAAAAAACGCAATAAGAGTTCTCAAAACATACATCTAATAGTATTCTTGGTTGTTTGGCAGAAGAACAGTTACGTACAACTGTGTGTATGTTAGAGGGAGGGTAACCATGAGATACAAGCGAAAATTCAATTTTTGAAGAACAGGTTTCTATAGCATTTCGTGCAGTAGCTTTTTGTTGGGGACTCAGACGTCTCAACCAGGGTGCTAAACTAAGGCAAAATAATAATTCCTCATCCATTTCAGGTGCAGATAAAGTGTGTTTTTGTTGAGCTAACACTGGTAATGATCTGCCAAATTTCCTCATAACTTTCTTTATCTCATTATCTGCATCACTCAAACGTATTTTATTAGATTTCTTTGCTCCCACCCGATTAGATCCTCTTTCAAACTACTTTCTCTTCATATTCTTTGTTTGCAATCACGTGATTTATTGCTTCAAAATGTTTTTACCATTGAGTTCTATAATAACTGGAGCGGCTATCTCAAGCGCGGCCTTAGATATCTGATGACGCCATAAAAATGGCGGATTTCGTCCTTTGCCTCTGAGATTTACCGAGATTGATCGCTTTTCCGAAAATTTCACAATTTCCCACTCCCTCCTGAGGAAAGAGCGAAGAAAATGTATGTGTGTATTTGGGATTCGGCAAGCAATTTTTTGATGAAAATCACGATAAAAACCTAGAATTTGTAACAGCGAGTCAACCTAGCTTTCCAGTTATCGGCTCCTACGAGGATGTATTTATAACTATCGACGAAAGAGCTATATGTCGGCTACACATCTATGCATGCAGATATGCGTCGTTTTCTTACCAGCGTCAAACTTGTTTGATCGATTAAACTCTTTAGTCTATACCAGGGGTCTCCAAACTTTACAGCCAGAGGGCCACATGAACTTTCATCCAGCATGTTGAGGGCCGAAGAATATAAAAAATTTCCACGTTATCCTTCAGCTTTTTAAATTTCGCAATGTGCTTGAAACGAAAGTAGGAAGTTGGGAGAAAAATTAACGTAAGCCACTCTTGCTAGTTGGCTTGCGACATAACGTGAACTTTCTGCACAAAGTTTATTTTGTTTAATAATATTATTATTTTTTCTTAAGTGCCTCTGCGGGCCGGATTGAGAGGCTCAACGGGCCGCATCTGGCCCGCGGGCCGTAGTTTGGAGACCCCTGGTCTATACAAAAAAGTATATCATATCGAGATAATTAACTTTCTTTCCCTCTACTGTACCTGGATGATTGTAAAATACACGAAGTACTTATTAGCCTATGTTGGTATTATTAATTGAAAAACTATGATAGAGCTTGTTAATTTTCTTTTTTTTTGTATGAAGGTCTGTTGGTATTTTTGTCTTTGTACGCAAGCAGATATGGTACTTCTGGGTTGGTGGAAATTGTTGACACTTTACAAAACAGGTTAGAGGTCTTAGAAACTTTATTATGCACTAATATACATTCACTTTTGATGAAGACACACATTGGAACTGTGAAGCGCGAGGGAGATGCGTTAATGTTCACTTTCTCGTCAGTTTTTGCCATAACTAAAGATTGCTGAAAAATTGTCATAAATGAAGGAAGTAAGAAACGTGTATCTTATGAGCTGATAGAATGTGTGATTCGTGTCTTGTCGAACGCAAAAATCTTGCTTAACTAAACGAAATCGCTTCTCAAGAAAAGTTGACTTAACTTGACTCCATCAGTAAACTGTATTTACTCTATATAAACTGGAACGCTTACTCTAATGCTAGTTTAAAGCCAGTTATGATGTATTTCTATCTGAGTTTTTAGGTTGATTATCAAATTTTGTATTGTTAACTTTTCATTGCAATTTGCGCTACTGTATTTTATGTATATTGGTGTTGATTTTCTAAAATAATTTTATGGAACTTTTAAAAACTCAGAAAAACAAGCTTCGTACTGGCTTCAAGGATGGCGGCGTAGTTAGAGTTTCAGTTTGATATTCACTTCAGTTCACTTCACTTCATGCGTGATACTTTCTCTCGTACGACTCCCTAACGACTTCGGCTGATGACAAAGTTGAACTAAGTTGTTTAAGCTCATTTTTTGTGTTCTCTTTTTCTATGTCCTTTGTCTATGCCCTATTAGTTACACTAAGCACTTGTTAAAGTAATGGAATGTTTCTTGTAAACCATACTGTCTTATAATATTAAAGTGCAAACATTGGTGGCTCCTTTTAAACTTCTACCAAATTTTCCTTTATCATTTTTAACTGACAATAGTTATTTTGTTCAATGATCTTCCTGACTTTTAATTGGTTGGGCAAAACTAGATGTAATGGGAAGTTCTTAGCTATATATAGTATGCTCAAAATGCTATGTGGTAAAACAGATACGCACTCGCTGCTGCGTGGTCTTGCGAGCATTTTTTGCAAGCAAATTATACCGTAAAAATCCAGGAAATCGCGTTTCCAACGATCAAAAAATTAAAATTTTCCTAGGGAGCCTACCCCCGGACCCCCCTAGAGGGTTCGCGCCTTTGGCGCTCAAAGTGCATCAGTGACGAAAATTGCTGGATCCACCCCTGTCACATGGAGCCGTTACTATGCATCAGCAGAAGAAACGAATGAGATTTTTCTTTGTGCCAATAGTACGCGGCACATTTCTCAGCCACAAGAAAACCTGTCAATGAAAGCTAATCCAATAAGTGTCCAGTAATCTGAACGTAATGAACCGGAGGAGCGTATGTAGTATATCCTCCAAAATACAGCTCCGGATTACGCCTTCTTAGAAGACCTGCATACTTGAGTGTTTATAATTCCTGAACACAAACTTTTTTCCTTATAAAATAAACAAAAAACTGTATAGATTTATTTATGATACCTTAAGCAAAAAACATAAACATATACATATTAAGTATAAAAAGAGGGGAGATGTGATGATATGTGATGCAGATGTTATAAATTCAATAACACGTAAACAAAACGTGTAATTCTTAAGTCAAAACATACCATTAAGCCCTTAATAAACAATCATGAGGTCTTTACAGAGAAAAATCGGACTGAAGTTTTTTTGTGCAGACCGAGCCCATTGGTCAAGGTTTGACTGGTTTGTACAAAAAGAAAGAGGTCTGATATTTCTCAGTAAAGACCGAGAAAGCGAGGTTATTAAAAGGTTTATTATATGGCATTATTTGACCTGAAACAAGCTGGCTTTCTTTCTCGTCTTTGCTGTGACTTAAAATTTTTACTATATTTTTATATAGTATTATTTATATAGTATTTATATGGTATTACTGTATTTTTACTATATTTACATATTTTTACTAAATATGACTTAAAAATTTTACTACTTAAATTATAGTTTCATTTAACAGAACTTTGAAAATGACAGTGTATTTTCTAAAACAGTTTGTGCTTACCTCTTTTCATTCTCGAAGTATTGAAGTTTTTGTAATGTCCGATCTATACAACTTTCACATGAATTGAGAAAGAAATTTATAAACTATTTTGTTAGGCAAGAAGGAAGTGTTTCATGGCAATGTAAGCACATTACCAGTGTGGGTGAGCAGTTTCCATCATCGGAGGCAATCTAGAAGGGGGAAAGAACAGGAAAAGACCAACCTTGCATTCTTATTGTAAAATCAATTTAAAATTTTCATGTCTCAAAAAAACGCAATAAGAGTTCTCAAAACATACATCTAATAGTATTCTTGGTTGTTTGGCAGAAGAACAGTTACGTACAACTGTGTGTATGTTAGAGGGAGGGTAACCATGAGATACAAGCGAAAATTCAATTTTTGAAGAACAAGTTTTTATAGCATTTCGTGCAGTAGCTTTTTGTTGGGGACTCAGACGTCTCAACCAGGGTGCTAAACTAAGGCAAAATAGTAATTCCTCATCCATTTCAGATGCAGATAAAGTGTGTTTTTGTTGAGCTAACACTTGTAATGATCTGCCAAATTTTCTCATAACTTTCTTTATCTCATTATCTGCATCACTCAAACGTATTTTATTAGATTTCTTTGCTCCCACCCGATTAGATCCTCTTTCAGACTACTTTCTCTTCATATAGGTTGTCTTTTTTTTAGTCCGTTGTTTTTTTAGATACGAGATCACACTCCTATTCCGCTCCAATATCAGCAAGTAACAAATAGTCATCTTGAGATATTTCACCAATATTTGATTCATTTTCATTGATAAAATGACTTAAGGTGAAATGACTAAACAAACATTTTCCAAAGAATCTATTTACATTCATTGAAAAATTTTCATTTGGAGCCTTTATTCAGTATTGGGGATGGAGCACAATTGGCACCAAATTTGGAAAAACTATTTTCATCGTTAAGTCCAATCGCAAAATTATTCACCTCTTTTAGAACACAATATTGATCAATAACTTAGTCACGCAATAGCTAAGCATTGTCTATCAAAATTTAGCTGTTACTTTGATTGTATGTTCATCAGTTTATTTAATTCTTCCATTTTGGCTACATAATTTATACCTAAAGTCAACCGTGAATTTTATATTGACCATGTTCGCCTTCTCTTCTAGTCACATTTATTTCCAAAACAAAATGTATTTAGCCAGATGAAATAAACCAGTTTTTTCCGGACACATTACCACTCCAAACATAAAGACAGAATTGACTTTTAAACGTTTGCGAGCATTTTGAAATTTGTTTGATATTTAAGAACAGTTAAATCATCTGAACTCTCAAAAGCTATCCTTACCAGTCATAACCACGAATTTCTTTTACATTCTATAGCTTTTTTTTAATGAAAGAATACATTGCTGTCGAGATTGAAGATATAACTATCACATTCTTTGCATGATACAAATTTGCCTTAAATACAAATCAAGTTGGTGCTGAGTGCGACCTACAACTCACCACTATGATGTACAAGCTTTTTGCCACTTTTGGACATATTGTACTTTTTATAACATTTAAATCTGGCATTATGTTGAACTTTACATATTACATGCAGGTGTGATTTAATTAAGTTATCGTAGTTTTATATTATCTGGTGTTATTATACACAATATAGAATATATATTTTATAAACAGCATATAACGACTATAAGAGAGTAAATATGAAAAGAAATCACCAGATAAACGTATATAACTATGCTAGTTCTATATAATTTAAATATGAGTAATCTGACCTACAAACCCGTTGCGAATTACAATCTATTAGGCGACTTTTTCTAATGATCTTAGATCATAGAAAAACTCGCATCATAGATCTTCAAAACTCTACCTTTTTTTTCTTCTCAATGTCTTCCAATATATTTTTTAACCATTTATCGACATAATTTGTGTCGGTTTCTTCAAACGGAATTGACTGAAAATCGGTGAGCACAGATGGTATGACAGAGTAAAAGCTTTGGCAAAGAAATTTCAATTCTTTTGCTTCTTTTTTTATCGTAGTGTAATGAGATTCAACATAGCTATCTGCTTTTTCTGAAAACGAATCCAACTCTATCTCAACCACTTGGAAGAATCCTGCGGCCTTAATTAAACCTTCCACAAAATCTTTTATGGCAGGTATCAACGTTTCTGCTACAACTATGGCTGCTGCTTTGTTGACTTTGAAATGCTGTAATTTAGCTACATCAATAGCAGCATTTACCATAAATGTTTCTGCTGATAATTGTGTAACAAAAGCTCCTCCAACTAACGACGACGACCAACTTTTTTTACTTTGCACTTTCCTGTCGAGTTCTTCTTTTTGTTTTTCATATTCCATTTGAAGATCTTTGAATTCTGTGATGAGAATTTTTGCTTTACATTCTCTCTTATTAAGGGAAGCCAGCATGCCTTCATGCATTTTAACACAAGTCTCTGCGACTTTTTTGTATGTGCGGATTTCATCTCGAATATCCTCCAGGTATTTCTTCCATTTATCAAAAGTTAAAGCCGTGTAATTTTCAAAGTAATCTTTTAAAGATGCCACCAACTTTGTGCAGTTTGGTAACACGACCTTTAAATAAACCATTGCATCTTTTCTTGTGTCGTCGCGTAGTTGTCTGAATTTACAGGTGGCATTTTCATAAGAACCAACAGCAAGTTCGGCGTATAGCAATCTCATTGTAGAGGAAATCGACTTGAAATTTTTAGGCATTTCTTTCAAGTTATCCTTTAGGCTTTCGATCGGAGCTTCCATTTTCATTTTTAGCTCAGAAATCTTTTGGAAATAAAACAAAAAGAGAATTATTGTTATTTCTTCGACAAATTAGAAAGAAAATTTCTAACTCGTTGGAAAAGTGTAAGTTCTGCTGCAATTGCTTACTGAACTGACACCATGTGAAATAGTATGTTTAGTTTCCGAGACCAAAGCAGGAAACATCGACGGTCGAGAGTAAACTAAACACACCGTTTCCAGAGACTTTTATCAATAATTTTTTTGTTGTAGACTGACAATAACTTAAGTAAACGAAATGATTACTTCCCCAGACGAATATAACAATAAATTAGTAAGAAAATCTTTGGCAAAATTCTCGCGATGTTTTGATCGAGATTTGATTCTGACTATAGTGGAGGAAATGTCGCATTTTCACGTCATAAACGTGATTTTGTGTAATCTACTAGTCCATAAGTATCAATTCATACTTAAGCTACTTGCAAGGAAACATGTGAACTTTTTCATTCTCATGTGACACATTATATAATATTGTTGCCAGTATGTATTTTTAGTATAGATTTTAAGAATAATGCTTAAATGTTTGTTCAAAGCAACTTTCGAGATCAGTGTACGTTTCAACTAATTTTGTAAGCAAAGATATTAAATTGAACTAAGTATTAATATTTCTTATAACTTATACAGTGTTGAAGTAGTTTTTGTTAATTTTTTTTGTTTGGTTGTTTATAATTAAAGTTTTTTACTTATATCTAAACAAACTCACTATTCAAAAAACATTAAAAATTAGCAAATTATCGCTTAAATCATGATCATCCTATGTGGAGAAAGACTCTTCAAATGATTTCTCAAACAATTGTTGACTTGGAGATTGCAAAAAAAATCAGAAAAACGAGTATTGCAGATTTGATCAACCCTATGTACTGTGCGCGTTCCGAACCAAATTGGTAATTTCAAAAGCAATTGACGTTGAGCAGTGGCGGATTCAGGGTTAGTCAAAAATAATTGCTGCAGACGATTTTGGAATGTATTTACATTTCTAAGCCCCTCAGAGGGATATCCATTGGTGAAATTATATTATTTAGAAATTCAAAACCAATAGTGCTTTTGTGAAAGTACTTTGAATTTAAAATTAAGGAGCTATAATTTATTTTGACTAAAACTGGATCCCTACTGACATTGAACATTACAAGTAATCTCCATTTTAGATTATCAAGATGAAAAAAAGAGTCTGTGCACAAAGATTAGTATTTGTGAGTGTGTTGCAAAAATCGTTTCAACTCAGCGAATGGCTTTATTAAAGTATTCTTTATTAAAGTAAAATGTTACATTAAATCACTTGTCTAAAGATATTGTAAAAACGAGACATTACAAACATTTTGAAATGTTTCACAAAAGTGGTACATTCATAAATCTTAAAACTGATACCTGGCTCATATATAAGCTACTGGCCATAAAGTAAACTAAGTTACACAAACAAAAAAACATCGGATAATGATGTTAGATGTTTGTAATGTCCATTCCCTCGTTAAGAAAAGACAAGAAATCAGCTTCAATAGATGATAAGGTTGAGCAAAATTCTTCACAAGGACCTATCATGTCCCTTGATTGAGATTGCATTTTTTGGTAAAAGCGTTCTTTACGTTCTTCCAAATCATTAGAATCAAGATATTTTAAAAATACATTTAATTCTCTCTCAGTAACTTCGAGGAATGCATTCGCTTTTTCTAGACATTCAATGAATTCTTTTATAGCGGGTATCAACGTTTCTGCAACAATTATGACTGCGCACTCATTGATAAAGACATGCTCGTCCTTTGCTAGTGCCTGAACAATGTTTTGATCAGATAATGCTAACAAATATGGCTTTGCATATGGAATTAAAGCTAGCCACAAAGCCCATTTTCTTTGTTTTTTGGCTGTTTCTTTTAATATGCTCGCTCGCTTTTCGTATTCCATTTGCAGAGCCTCAAATTTTTGAATAAGATTATTTGCTTCAAGTTCTCGTTGCTTGAGTGGAATAAGCAAGTCCTTGTGCATTTCAAGAACAGCCTTTCCGTTCTCTTCGTATTTTTTTGTCTCATCTCGTATAGCTTGCAGTGAACTATTCCATTTGTCGAAGCTCAACTTCTCGTATTTTTCAAAGTAATCTTTCAAACATTCTACAAACTTAGTGCAGACTGGTAACACGTTTTTTATGTAGACTATTGCGTCACTTCTTGTGTCATCACGGAGTTTCCTGAACTCGCTGGCAAAGGCTTTATCTGTACCAAAGGCATCTACGACGCAAAGCGATTTCATACTCAAAGAAAAAAGCCTTATAATTAATTTCATCTCGTTGAATAACTCTTGATGCTCCGACATCTTATGAAAATAAAATGGAAAAAATTTATTGAGGAAATCCTATTAAATGAATAAAAAGTAGCATATCTGTATTATTACATTAATAATATATGTTAGATTATGTGTTTTATTTATTGATATTATAGGTTTCATAATATGCTTTTCTGCTCAATAACAACTAGAAAGGTCACGCAAATAGATTGACGCTTAATTTCACGTGTCATATCTATACCTAGGAACTGAAGTAACATAAATTCTATTGAGTTCTATAAAACCGGGGGGACAAGGGGCCTGGACCCGGCTGTCAAAAATATGGTGATAAGGTCGGATTTCGATTGTTAAAACTTCTACTTTGAGAAAAATTTTTCCCTCCGGAATCCAGATTGCTATTGCTGCCTATATTAATGACAACCACTGAAAACAACCACGATACCGAAGCAAATAATATTAAAAATAATCTTTCAGGATTTTGTGAAATAAACACACACATCAAAACGAGGACAATCTACGGTAAAAAACGTATATTTCCTCAAATAATTTTCTCAATATAACTAGATTAGAAATAACAACAAACGTCAATGTCGTGAAGCTTATACATAAACCATGCACACTGCTTGTGTTTTTGACTGTTTGTAAACAGTTTGGTGCAACTGTCTTTCTTGAATAGATGAGTAAATCTTAGTTAAAATGCCCAAAAAGGAGTGAGAAAAAGTTTGCTTACTCTACGACTTAAGTCAACTGGAAATATATCATGAGTAATTAGGTATGTATTTTTTTTAGTCATTTTGGTAGGATTGATTCTAAGTGTCTTAAGTTATAACGTAATGACATTCTAATAAGTTTACTAAGAACTTATAAAGAAAATATCTTGAACTAGGAGAGCAAATGAACAAAAACCAAAATGCTATGATCACCAATTTGCTTGTTGGAAATTTCTGATTTGAGCCAAGATATTAGAAACTGGATTGTTTGTGAACTATTTGGTACAACCATGGATCTACTACAGGACAGAGCTACATTAATTTCCCATTGACTATACAATTTCGGAAATTAAAGTGCACTGGTTTCTCTAAAAAACGACCTTGTTTATTGCTACACGAGGATAAACCTGTTTAAATAATTATAATTTTGGTGAAGATATTTTGCAAGTTCTACAATTGTTATTGTACAGCCATTATACTTATAATATTATGGCCTAGTGTAATGTATGTCAAGAAGAATGTATTAACTCTCAAAAACGCTAACATTGCACTACTCGTCTAAAGTTCCCATTATAAATTACAGTTACCTTTACTAATTTTTTCTAGATTCAAAAACTTGACAAACTATTGAATTTTACATTATGCCTTTTAATTTTTCCTTTTGTCTCTTGGTAAAAATATTAGTGTAATACTAAAAAATCTGTTAGAATTATGATAGTTTGCGAGAAGAGATATTCAATAATTAAAACAGTAACATAACAAAACAAACGATAAACATAGTTATGTTTATAACGTCATTTATATATGTAAATGCGCACATGTGGGTGAGGACATGGTCTTGTAGACATTGTGAGTGCAAGTTATTTGTTTAATTATACGCTTTTATATTTTTATCTGCAAGTATCAACGTGTTATTAAACAAAAAAACAAGTTTATCTAAAACAGTATTTTGTACGAAGAAACTAAACGAAATTGGAAAAGTCTCATGTTGAAGACAGATTCTACTTTTTTTACTGGATAGCTATTGTTATTCTGTTAAATAATTTCTATTAATTCTTCATATGACACAAAGAAGTTCTTTGTCATTTATTTTTTCTTTTCTACGTTCAACTTCATTACAACCAATGCCTCTTATATTAATTTTGGATCACCTGGAATTGAAAAAAGTATTGATTTCGTCAAATGAGGCAGTATTAAATTTAATGTTTCATGCACGCCGTCATAATCTTTTCTTGGACAAAAATTTCTGTTTATTACAAACGTATTAGCCTGTTTACTTTAAGAAAAAATAGTTCATTTGCAGAAACAAAAAATAGCATTTATAAAACTGTCAGCATAAAGCAAACCTTTATGCACCATCATCCTGATTATCCATAATACGCCATATTGTGCAGGCAAGCTGTTTAATACAGGTATTTTTTACTGTACGACATGTACCAAAGAGTTCATTAACTAATGACTCAATGCATTTGATTTCAATACCACACTGTTCTTAATATTTTCTTCATATTCTAAGAAAAACATTATGACAAACTCCTCCATTTCTTGGAGGTAAACTCAATTCAATCCAGGAGTTTTAAGATAAGCATATCTCGGTAAGAATTGGATGTTTTTTCACGTCTAGCAAGCGAGCAAAGGACAAATAAGACTGGACAAACAACTTAAATTAAAACTTAGTAGTAAAAGCATTCACAAAATATATAGCATCACTTCAAGTGTTGACTTAAAAATAAAACACTGAACACTTTAAATGGCAAACAAACTTACGTAGGCTAGCTTACCGGTGTCATGAAATGTTTCCTTTCTTGCAGAACTTCAGTATCCGCATACGACACAAGTTTGCAGCATGTTTTATAGATAAATTTGTTAATATAGAGTTCGTGTTGGCATTGATATGTTATATAATCGCAGTCGTGGTTGTCTAAATCCGGGTTGGCGAAAAAAAATTTATTTCATGAGCCGTGTCTTTCTGCTGACTTAGACAACCAAAATCCGCCATGCTTT